TGTTGGATTAGTGTCTAAGCTTGTAACTATATTTGGTATGTACTTGACCCAGTTGTGCATGGTCCTTTTGGGTTGCCTTCACCAAAGCAACTTGATAGGATGATTTATGGAGAAAGAGGATTGATTATGATTTATTAACAAATATTATATGAATAATATATTAAAGTAGAAACCATATTGTTTAATTAATATTAGTCAAGAATTAATTAAGAATTAGTTTTGTGACTAAAAGACATTAATTAAACTTAGGGGACTAGAATTGTAATTATAGGATAGATTCAATTGGGTTATGGATCACCTTGGAACATAGGTTGGATGAATTCTATGGGAAGCCCATAAGAAATTCGTCCAAGGGTTGTTCTAAAGGGAGTCCATGGGCTGCTTAGGGCCTAAGCAGTAAAGTTAGGGTTTCCTGGTTGATAGCCCTAATTGCCTCACTATATAAGGACACTTATAGCCCCCAAAATGTGTGGAACTCTTTTGGAAGAACCCTAGGACGGTTTTGGTGCTTTTTTTCTTTCTCTTTAGTCATCCTTTTGCTTATGGTGTTTGTAAGCCATTAGAGGAGTGACACTTGTAACTCTAAGCTCCAAAGACAAGAAGATTCAAGCCATTCCACAAGAGGTAATCATCTAGATCTGCTCTTATGTGATAATTTCGAAATGCATATGCTAGATTAAGGATCTTGAGTCTTGGATGAATTGCATGTACAACAGAGAAACCTAGATCCAAGCATTAGGGTTTGTATGAGCACATAGGATGTTCTTTTGTATAAAACTCATCACCTTCCACGTCTCGAACTTGAAAAAGTGTCTATCCGATGAGACTCTCGTAATTCCACTTGACGAGATCGAGATCGATGAGAGCCTTAACTTCGTGGAAGAACCAGTAAAGATCATGGACTAAGAGGTCAAGCAAACAAAGCAAAGTCGTATCCCCATAGTGAAGGTTCGCTGGAATGCCAGGTGGGGACCTGAATTCACTTGGGGGCGCGGGGATCAAATGAAATTAAAGCATCCTAATCTTTTTACTTTGTTATTGTAATACCTTAAACTCTAATTTCGGGACGAAATTCCCTCTAACCGGGGCGGGGGGGGGGGGGATGATGTGACAGCTCGAAAATTTCTATCTTGTACATTCAGTTGAGTCAATCAAAGTCAGACTTGTTTTTTTGGCTATCTTTTAGCCATGTTTAAGGTCTGTTTAAGTGTTATAAGCCTAGTACCTTCAAGAAGGATTGTTAGGAAGTGTATTCTAGAGTGTAGTGTGCAGCATACAAGCTGGAAACTCCAGTCATAAGGAGTTTACGGTCGTAAACTAGAGTTTACGGCCGTAAACACCTCTTTGGTCGTAAACTCATACCCATATATGAGTTTCACCTTCATTTTTAGTCATTTCTTACACTTCCAAGCTTAGATTTCGGATTTCTCTCTCAAGTATCATCAAGCTTTCACCTTGCTCTTCCAAAATGTAAGAAATCATTCCATTTTAATTGTTGTTATCCTTCTTAATCTTGTATCACCCATTGATTTCTTCCATAAAAATCATGTTTTGGGTATATCTTCAAGTGTTCATCACTTTCACCAAGAACACCTACTTTTTCTTGGACCGTAAACCCCCTCAAAGCCTCCAAAGTGTAAATATTTCTTTCATATTCTAGTTAGGCTTGATAAACACCCAATTTCTAGCCTTAAAACATCGTTTAGAGCATGAACACCAAGAGTTTACGGCTGTGAACCCTTGCATGGCCGTAAACCCTTGTTGGTTCATGTTTTGGCCTTCAAACTCATCTAAGTCTAAGCCTACGACGAAGAAAACTTAGGGAATGCTTGTTAGGGCCTTAGAACACCTCATTTGCAAGCTTTTCAATGAGTGTACGACCGCAAACTCCATGACCGTACACTCATTGGCCGAAATCACCACTTTGGCCACAAACTCCATGACCGTAAACACCTTGGGATGTAAATATCATGGCCGTGAACACCATGTGTGGCCGTAAACCCCTTTATGTACAATCACATGTGATTGTAACACTTCCATTCAAGTTGTTCCTAGTCCCTAAGGTGTTTCCTTTCATGATTAAGCTGTATAAACACTAGTTATATCCATATATGTGTCCTCATATGCTAAATAGGATCCGTGTGTCTGCTCGAGTCTTCACTTGACACTTAGCAACCGTTACCGATCTTACATTTGATTCACTCACATCCGGTGAATTCATACCCCTAACTAACATTTTAAATGATTTTAAATGCTTTTATGGGGGGAATACAAGTTGAAACATTATAACTATCTTATAGATGGATTTCTTTTATTTCAAAGCTATGTTATCAAACAACTATTACAAAACGTTTTATCAAACTCTTTTAAAACTTGTTTATTGTCAAAATCATGGTTATTCAGTTATATAAACAAAGTTGAAAGGACTTAGGACTAATAACTCGCTTTATTTCATGTTCCTTGTTTGGTTGTGGACTTAGGGTATCAGTTGTTTGGCTGAATGTCATTTGAATCTTAGTTATATATCATGTATATATGTATAGATATAAAAGTTCTTACATTATTTCGATGCTTTTAGATAACAAAGGTGTACATACATGCCCAGTCATTCAAACAACATTACTAGTAAACTATAATATGTATAGTTTAGGAGATTACTACTCACTATTTCTAGTACAATAAAACATATACGAGTCAGTTCAAACATACTATAATGAGAAACAAGGAGGAACATACTATACACTATACAAAGAGAACAAACAATAACAAGAACAGAAAGGAACATGCATCCTTTTCAAGAACAAGATAACTTTTAATGTGAGTCTACTTCATGGCACAACAACAAGTTTGTTGTGTCACGTTTTTAATCAGAGTCTCCTAGAGGGAGAGCAGACATTGTGTGTATAGATCTATACGGGACTGACAAGCCCGCATCTTGACTGCTCGCTACAGTTGGCCGAAAGGCTAGGGGTGACAAATGTCACATTTACTTTCGGTGCCAGCAGGTCGTCATGTTATCTACTTGTCGATTTAACATGGTTATAACCACATCACATCAAAACCTTAATTAACAAATTGGTTTTAAGGTAGTTAGTACAATAGTAGTTACTATATACAACCCTACAATACTTTATTATTTTCCCATTGCATTCACATTGTGATCTTCTCACATAAACGACAATGTAAAACTATATTTTTGGTAATGATAGTCACACTTGGGAAAATACTCACTTTTACAAGAAACAAACATTCATAACATTCGGGTCTTGGTAAAAGGCTGCATTTCAGTAGAAAATATAGGATTTTCTAGAAGATTCAAACATTTACAACAAACTTTCATCACAAACATTTACAACATTTACATACACTTTTCTTCAAACTTATACAACTTTTGACACTAAATACATATGAACTCACCAGCTTTAATGCAGATCGTCTCTTTCAAAATAACTTGTATTCTCAGGTTATCAGTAGACAGGTACCGATGACATGTTTTGAGAAGACGGAGCACTATTAGACTCATCTTTATTTTGGTCATTCATTTTTGGTGTCTTATTATTATTATTATACATAACACACTTGTATTGAATTATACTATTAATGCAATGGATGATGTTGTTGCTTGTTTACTATTATGCATTGTTGTAATACTGTACATGACGTCCTCCGCCCCCGAATGTTTCCGCCAATTCGGTTTGGGGGTGTGACATAATCCAAGAGGACACTTATGAATCTAGGCACAAAAATCATAAGCCAAATTGCTAGAATGATTCTCTATTTGTTTGAAGAAAAGTGAGCTAATGATCATGTTCTACTTCTCAAAGAGAATAGTTGTTTATATAATAAACGGGATTAGAGTTTGCCTCTTAGGGTTGGCCGTCATGGGTTGCTTTGGAAGCAAGCCAAGAAATCCAAAATTTAAAGAGGATTTAGGGTTTTCAAAACTGGCGGGTGCCCCTTGGACCCCGCTAGGGCGCTGCCCCTAGACTCCACCAAAGGGGCGCCACCCCTTTGGAAACCCCAAACCCAGGGGTGCTGCCTTCGGACCCCCGACTTGTCATCGACCTGACTTCTAATTCGAACTTATATATGCGTGCATTCCGCACAAACTCGTACATATATTAAAGTAAAATCCCTTAACCCACATGTTAGTTCCAATTACATAAAATGTCATGATAATACTAAAATCACCTATACAAAGAAGTTTAGGTAAAATAACATAAGGATCCACTTGGATCTTTAGATCATATATTAATTGTTATGTGTGGAATCTTTCCAGCTATGTACATGATGCCATACAGAATAGGCTTAAATAAGTGTCTGAGAGAAAGTGCAAGTATTTTACAAATACATTTCTGTAATTTTGTCCTCATGCTTTGCCTTGATTTGTCCCTTTGTTCTCTCTTTACAAAGGACTAAAGGTTTACTTTAGAGTAAATTACATTGTTAATTGATCTTGTCCATATGATATGAAGAAATTACAGTGTTGGTCCCTGGTGTATATGAAAAAAAACCATTATATCATTTCTAATTAATTATTTTTATTTTCTTTTACCTATTTATAATTTTTGTAATAAAAATTTTTAAACAAGGACCCACCGCCTCCCTCCATTCCACCAGTCAAACCATTGCCTCTTTACATCTCTTTCTTCACGGTGCTCACACCACCGGCGATCCAATACCATAAACATTCTCGTCGATCAGACAATCTATATATATATATATATATATATATATATATATATATATATATATATATATATATATATATATATGTTAACCAGATCATATATACACTAGAGTGCTTATTGGAGAAGAATGGGTGGGGGTGGGATGGGTGAGGTGGATGTGGCTTTTTTTAATTTTTAAATTTATCAATTATAAAAAATAAAAAGAAATCAAAAAGGGTGAGGTTGGTGTGGCTTTTTATTTATTTATTTATTTATAATTTTTAACTTTTAATTTTATCAATTATAAAAAATAAAATGAAATTAAAAAGGATATAATAGTCTTTTTCATGTAGACCAACACTGTAATTTCTTCAAACCAACATGGACATGATCTACAACATTGCAAAAGTATGTGATTTTTGTTGCTGGCTTCGTTTGCTTCTTCAATGCACAAGAACAAACAAACGAAGAAACCCCCAAACACGAATTAATCTCTTATTCATCTTCTGATGATAAGTATTCTTCTTTCTATGTTTACAAATTACAATACATAATACATGTGCATTTTAATTTCATCCTATCGTATATATATACTAGACTCTTGAATCTTAATGTCCAAAACAAGTGGTAAAACAGAAAACCCATGTATATGTTTACGCTGCTAACTTAAAACACAAAGAACCCAAAAAAAACATAGTAAAATCGAAATGAATCGATTAGGTATCCCAGATCATGACAACCGCAATCACCCCAATACCCAACGTCACAGCCAACAACTTATGATGGGGAGTGTCAACGGACACGACCTTCTGTGCCTTGTAACCCTTTAGCAGATGGTTAATGGATACATATACAAACACCCCACAAGCTATTCCCATGGATACTGCAAATATCCAATCTGCGACCCGACCCTGTGTGGTGGCATCTATTACAATTCCAATTGCAACCCCAATTGGACTTGAAATTCCAAAGGCGAAGGCGTAAGATGCGCATGAGAAGAACGGGCGATCCGGTATCATCCTTAAAAGAGCAATTCCCATTGCAATGGCTGCAAAGATCTTGTGAAGAGATATCGTCCACAGAGCTTTCCAAGCATCGGCTTTGGTATCTGCGATCCCAATTGCTATGCCTTCAAACACTGAATGGAAACACAGCGCGATTATCAGCAAGATGCTGTCTCCAAGTGAAGAAGCCGATGATATTCCAATCTTCATCTCGTCTTTTCCATTTCTGTTGTCCCCTATTCATCATCAACAACAACAGTTACTTAAGATATCAATCAATTAAACAAACAAAGAACAACCTACCTTGACCTTCAACATCAGAATTTATCTCTTTTCCATACACATAGGAAATAATGCAATCACCAAGCATAGTAAGCAAATAGCCAGCACAAGCCAACATAAAGGCAAAAGGGTATTCGACTGTTGTTAAATCTTCAAACGTTTCATTGGCATCACTCAGGAAATGCATCAAGGCTGTTCCAAGAAATACGCCGCCGGCGAACTGGGTGCCTAGTACCAAGAATCCTTCATTCCATTTGAAGAAGTAGGGAGAGACTCCTCCGATGAAAGTCCCAAAGAACACTATTATTAAACACCATATCTTGACCAGAATCAAGGATTTGGATCGGAGGTTGGGTTTTTGGGCGTCATCGTCCTCATCGTCTTCGCCGCCGCCATGACCAGCGGCGGAGATAACAAGCAAAAGGAAGAGAGAGATGAAGAAAAGGGAACGAGACATGTGAACTTTGAGTGAAAACAGAGGAACGAGACAATGATTATTAGTTGGTTTGATTGTACTACACCCAGCTTTGGAAACGTAAATATGTAGTACAATCACAATGGGTGGATTGGCATAGTTTTGACAGGGTCAATGTTTTAGGTATTTAATTATATTTATGTCAAGAGGTCCCACACAACCTATAACCTGATCGATCAGTACGGCAACACAAAGAATGTAATAATCTTTACAGATTCCATATACTTGACCAAAAAATATGTGAAAAAAAGGAAACCAAATTTATAGATGGTGGATTGATATTATAAAAAACAATAAAAAAATTTCTATAAATAATAATCATAAGATATGAGTTATTACGTATCAAACTATGTTGAATCTTTGATTTAATTTTTTAAATTTATGATAGATTAGATCAAAAGTTCAAAATCTTAGAAAAGTCACAAAAATTACATCTTTGGAGTTTTCCGACGCACTGAAGCCACCGCCTCCTTCTACCCATCTCCGGCTGCTGTACCTCTCTTTCCATCTCAGGCCGTCGCCTCCCTGAGCCCCTCTTCTCCGCCTTTGGTTACGGCTGTGCCCCTCATCACTCTCAGCTACGTCTCCTTATCTTTATTGTTCTTGAAGTTGAATGTTGAGGGATCTACATGATAAGTAGACGATACTACTCCATTGTTCTTGGTCATCGGAGCAAATGTTTGTGAATATTGAAAGTTGAAACTTGAGAGATTAACGAGACATATGGAAGCAGTAATGGTGCATAAGTCATAAAAGTAAAAGCAATGAAACTGACAGGTTGAACACTTTTTTTATTTTTATTTTTGGGTTTTATACCCCTCTCTTTTCCAATTACCCTCCGATTAAGGCGATTAGCCTGATTTGATTTTTTTTTTGTTTTTATTGATTTTTTTTTCTATTTTTTTATTATTATTTATTATTATTATTATAAATTTCAGACAAAATTTTATAATTCATTCGAACTTCTATTTAAAATCGGTTTTTAACTATATATTTTAATAATATATATATATATATATATATATATATATATATATATATATATATATATATATATATATTAAAATAATGTTCACTTAGCTACAGTACCTGACCACAGATACTGTTCATGAGGTTAACTCAACCAAAGTTTGACGATCAGATTTCTTCTTGAAGCTTCTTGCACGTCATCATCTTGCTTTCTCAGCCATTCCAGAATTATCCTCCACCGCTATGCTGTAGCGATTGAACATCGACATCTCCTTCTTCTACCTACGTCGCCGTTGACGGTGCTTCTGTTGCTTCCATCCGGCGCCGATGAGCGGCCATGACCCGGGCCAAACTAAGTCAAGAAACGGGAACTTTAGCCTCGGCCCACTGCTCTGAACAGCATAATACCCGGTCCAAACATCGCACCACTCGGATTTCACGGTATTTTCCTTCCGATTTCACAGAGCGCCGATTGTTCAGACTGTCGTTTTTTTTTTTTTTTTTTTTTTTTTTTTTTTTTTGGTGATGGTAGTACCATCGACTTCTTCACCTTTTGAGTCATCTTCGTCTTTTTCTATGGAGAATTTCAGTGGTCTTCCAATCATGTCGCTCCAGAGCAAAATTATCGACAACATTTCTATTTTGAACAACACAGATGGTACAAGAGGCGGTGGCAGACGTTTTGCTTCAATTCTAACTTGTAATTTCATTGTTGCTTATTTTATGAATAAAGAGGTAAGCATTCGATCTATTTTTTGTGTTTCATGTTGGAAAAAGTTATGCTAATACCTAGGAAAGCAAGTAAGCAGTAAATGACAATAA